TCGGCCCCGGCCGCCGCCGCCGCCGCAATGGGCAACGCCGCCGCCGCCAAGAAGGGCAGCGAGCAGGAGAGCGGTGAGTGCCGGGGCCGTGACCCCAATCCCGGCCCCGCGCTGCCAGTCCCCTCCCGGTCCATCACCGCCTAGCCCCTCCCCCACGCCACCCCTCCCTTACAAACACACACACTTCTTGCTGCTTGCCCCTCAGCGCCCCTCTTACCTGCTTGTCTACGATTGGGCCCGAGGGCAAGTAGAAGACTCCTGTAGGGACCCCTTTGGGCAGAGACCGCTCTCCACTGCAAAGGTTGTATACCACCCCACCCCCCCAGCTGTCACTGCCAACCATGGCACGTCTGACCGCTTGGGCCCTACATTGGGCCCTGTCACTACCCCACCCCCTCCTCTCCTGACCCCTCTCTCCAGATTCTAACCCCTCTCTTCCTAACTCACCTCTCCCACAGGTGGGACGCACTGTCAGGCCCTGACCCAGGCTTGTACCAGTCTGGGAGTGCTGTGGGGTTTGCCTTCCCCATGAAGGAACCTTGGCCACTTGGTGACCACACCCCTCCCCCCTCTAGCCCCCGCCATCTTTCTCTTGCCCTTACCCTCTTCACCTTATCACCCCCCAAAAAACCCTGCTGTGCCCCCCTTGCGCATTTCCCAAAGCCACCTCCAGCATTGTTTTTCGCTTTTGTGTCACTTGGCACAGGGGACAGGATCTTTCTGGGTCCCTCTGCCCCTCTCCCATTCTGTTACTCTGCTTCTCTGCTTGTGCTGCGTCCTCCAAGCAAGCATCTGTCCCTGGCTGGGGTAGCAGACTGTTTATGAACCTAGAGAACTGCTTCAGTGCTTTCAAAGCCAAGTTTGAGCCAGTCTTGTTGGGATTCATTGCGTCCTTGAGTTTGGTGGGTGGCAGTGGCAGACCCTTTTCTCAAGTCCTGCTGTGCAGTGAGCTCTAGGTTCTGTGAAGGGCCCCTCAATAAATGGTTGTTTCACAGTTGAGGCTCCGTCATTCAGCCAGGCTCTGGGGTTTCTTCATCGTCTTCTGGCCCAAGATGAAAAGGGTATGAAAAGTCTGGATTTAGCAGGGCTCATTCAGCTTGAGCTGGGATGGTGAGAAGGGGACTCAAGGCAAGTGGGAGAATGTAATGGGTGATATCTAATGACTTGCCTTGCTCAGGGACATACAAATTCTGATCATTCCCTTGGCTCAGCTAGAGAGAAGTCTGCTTCCCCCCACATGTACACAAAACTCCCAGAGTGTTGGCCTTTTCCAGTCAAGCAGAGAAAGACATCCTGTTTCTAGAAATGCCTTCAGAAATGGCCTCAAGCCCCTTCCTCAATTCTTCCAATTCTTAAAAATTATTACCACTCCAGGCCTAAAGGTGGATCTCAGCTCTAGAATCCCCTTCTTGTTTCCCAGAAATACTTGGAGCCCTGAGGAAAAAAGAGGAGGTGACATCTAAATATACCCTTCTCAATTATTGGTCTCAATAACCCAGCATTTAATTGCTTCAGATGCCCCTTCCCAGAAAGACCTGGACATAAAAGCCCCATAACTATATCCCCATACAGATTCAAGTAATGGCAAAAGAATCATTGAGTAGCCATGGGAAGGCCTGAAGTGTCACCAATGGGCGGGGGTTGAGGAGGCAAGTGCCTGTAGCTGAGCACTTGATGACAGAGAAGCAGGTGGATAGTGACCAAAAAAGGTCTGGGCATGAGCTTGGAGGGGGCCCCTAGCAGGTGAGGCTGCCTAGGAGGTGGGAGATGGAAGCAGGCAGCTATATATTGCAGTGGCTCATTTGAAAGTTGGGGAGATGACATAGTCCTGGAAAACTTTCAAGATATATCAGACACGTGGGGTGGGGAGTGGAAAGCTTAACAGGGCAAAGGATTCCCAAGAAATAGATGAGAGTCTCCAGAAGGAACCCCTAACTCTTTCAGAAGATGGGCTTGATACCCTGAAATGAAGTATATTGATGAAGTACTGCTACTGTTTATTGACTATCAAGGGTGTACCAAGCTAAGTGGTTTTTGTAGATTATCTTCTCAAGTGATTTTTTTTATAACTAGCCAGTTATAAAATATATACCCAGTTTTGTAACTATCCAAAAGGGCTTTCTTTTCTTTTAAGATTTATCCATTCATGCATATAAGAGCTGCAGTGCAGGCCAGAGGTGTGGGGGTTGGGGAGGGGTGGTGAGCATATTCACCAGAGACAGAGTGGGGAGCAGAACAGGCAGACTGACTGAAATACACTACTGAGGGGAGCAGTGGGCGAGACAGGAGACGTCTGCGCTGTGTGGGCCAGCTCCCTGGCTGGCTGGGGATTGAATTTATGCTATGAACTTACGCTGGAGTGGCTGCTGATAGCTATAGTACTGAGACTCAACTGCACTGCCCCATCAGCAAGAACCCAAAAGAGCTTTCTGCGTTTGATGTGGACAATGTCACAGAGGCAGGATTCACATCCAGATCCACCTACCAGCCAGCTTCCTGGACCTCAGACATTCTCAAGTTGCCTTTCTGATTTTGCTGTAGTCATTGATATTAATTTAATATATCAAAAACTTGGACTCACTTTGGTTCATATGTAAACCTTGATCCATACAAATGAAATCACAGGGTAGATATGCCAAACTATTCTTTCTGATACATGTTGAAATACAATGTAACTAGGAAAGTGAAACATTCCTAAGACCATTTCATGCCTTGCCACTGGGACTTACTCACACTTTGGGAAACCAAGCTGTACTTCTTTTCAGGGGTTTGTAGGAATTCTCAGAAGGAATAGCATGAGGAAGGAAATCCCTTTTTTGCTTTGAAGCATTGATTCTGAGAGGATGGAGTCAGACAAAATTTGCAGGGGTGGGGGCAATAGCCAAGCCAGCCTGCAGGGGGCACCTGAATTTCATCTGCCTGACACCAGCCTGATTAGGGTACGGGAAATGCCTAAACTTCACTCAGCAGGCACATTTCAGCATCCTGAAACCCCTTGTGCCACGTCTCGTGCCAGGACAGGATAGCATCAGCATTCTCCAAAGAGAGCAAGGTCAAGAACAAGTCCTGGGGTAGGGTAGGGTAGGAGAAATATGTACTCAAAATTACAGAAACCATGGGCAAGGGTTCAGGTAAGACGCAAAGATGGCAGAGAAAAAAATGACAAACCCAGGACTCTGATCAAGCTGCAGGAATTAAGAGAGGACAGCGGCCCCAAGAGGCCCCAGGGACAGGTAGCCAAGTGGGACGCAGGCCTTGGCTGACACTGGCTGAAAGCACCCCTGGGAACAGGCCTACAGCAAAGCAGGCAGGGCCAGGGAAAAGGAGCCCCTCACAATCCCCCAAGCCACAGGGACAAGCTCTGAGAGTGATAAATGTCCTCAAGAAGTCCGCAGATGGGAAGAATTATTCCCCTCTAACATCCTACAGAAGTCCAAGAGCCAAACATCTTCTCTGCATTGGCAGTTGTATGGGTACCCAAGAGGGTCCTACCTAAGCAGCTTTTTCCTTTGCCCAGTGTTGCCTACAAAAGCCTGAGGGTCCTATTTGCCCTTCCCTGGAATCTCCTGAGTCCCTGGTTGGGTTTCTCTTACTGCCACCACCTCACAATCCCTAACTCCCCTTGTAGGCAGGGCTCTGGGAATGGGCAGCCCAGCTGGTGACACAGGTCTCATGAGCCTTCCCAGCCACCGTAGTTTTGGTGCCTTGAGAGGAAGACTAAGTGATGGCATCCAACGATGGTGAGGCTGAACCCTGTTGCTATAGCAACTCCCAGATAATCTCTGCCCCTCAAGTCAGGGAGGGGCAGTGGTGGGGTTTGGGGAACAGGTAAAGAGGAATAATCTCTGGAACCCTGGCTGGCTCTGGAAACCCCTTCCTTACCAACTGTCCTGGACTGGAGGATCTGGGGAAGCATAGCAGGCATGGTTGGGCCAGTACAGACAAAAGGGGGTGATCCAGCCAGAATGTGGGTCCAGCTCAGCGTTGGGATCGGATCGTAATAGATAAATACAGATCATAATGTCCAGTACAGAATGGAGGGTCCATCAGACTGGGGAGTGATCCAGCCTAGTATTGAGTTCCAGCCCAGACTGGGGAAATCATCTAATATAGACTAGATCCTGTTCAGAATGGGACTTTGGTCCAAGTATTGGGACCCAGTTCAGAGTGGAAGGGGATCTAGCCTAAAGCAGGAGTTCCAAGCTTGACTAGATTAATTAGCCAGCCTAGTGCAGGGGCCCCAGCTCAGGCTGGGCATCTGTGCCCCAGAATTCCCAAGACACTGATTTCAGACAGGGGAAAAGCGTTATTGTCAGGATGGAAATGTGGTGGGCTCTTTACTGCTGGCTTTTCCAGGGATGTCTGGGGTTTCCTCGGTGAGCCCAAATTGAATCCTAACCAGAGTGGAGGCTGGCAACCCCCCATGTGGAGATATGGGTAGGGTAGCAGACTGCAAGCCAATAGCTGGCTGAGTTTCCCTCTGCCACTGTAGCAGGGGCTATGGGTGCCAGGCACTCTACATGAAATTCCCACTAAACTTCTTCTTTTAGAACTCAGAAACAAGGAGGAAGATGGTCAAAGCCACCTCCCTCTCTCCTACCCCTGGGTTTAGCCTTTCATTTCTGGTTTGGACTTTTCGTGTCTGAGCAGAGCCAAGCACAGCGCAAGGTTTGACAGAGGCCAAGGACATTCATTCCCCAGGATGTCATCCCCCAACCCACCCCTGTAGAGGAGCAAGACAAAGGCAAATGTACCCATTTCTCCCAGGATAGCAGGATTTGAGGGCTCCAGGTTCAAAGAAGAATCCAGGAGGAGTTAGGGTGGTGCTCACCATCACTCCCCTCTTGTTTCTTTTCAGCTGCTCTTTCAGCTAATTAACAGGGCTCTGGGGCCTCTTTAGCCCCAAAGGGGCCCCGGCTGCTGCTTGGACCTGAGTCTTAACTCCTTCCCCTCTACTCAGTGGGCACTGCCATTCTTTGGGTAGTCCAGCACCTATTAGGGGAGGTAGAACTTGGCATCCCAGAACAGTGAAGTCCCTGGAACAGGAAGTTAGCTTTAGCACCCCACCCCAGGGCAGACTGGCCAGCCAAGAGGGACACCTTCCGGAGAATCTTCCCACTGCCTCCTGCCAAGGAGGACCTTTGTAGACCTTGGCCGTCCAGGAACAGGTACCTTTAAATGGATCCATGGCAACCAGCTCCTCCTCTCAGGTCCCCGGGGACTGTCCCCAGAAAGCTAGCTCAGAGGCCTGGTATTTACTGGTCCCCCTGCAAAGGGAAGAGTCCATGGAAAGCCCAGGGAAGCCTGGGATGGAGGTGGGATCAGGCAGTGGCCAGGGTGGAGACTCAGAGACCACCTTCCAGCTGTGGCTGCAGCTGTTCCTCTGGGCCCACCTAGCTGTCCGTTTCCTGGGCTACCTGTGCCGCACCCTTTGGGCTCCTAAGCCACAGCCAGCTTCCTGAGCCACCCTGGTTGAGGGCCGGTGGACCCTAGATCACCCTATCCTGTTCCACCCCTCCTTGCACCCTCTGCTGAAGAGGCAGGAAGCCGAGGTGAGTGGAGGGCTTCTGATGGTTCCCGCTTCATTTTCACTCTTTGTGAACTAACTTCTCCTATATCTACCCCTTCCCCTCACCCCCATGTCCCATCCTCTAATCTGGCAAACCTCTGGCACCATTGGGAGCTGGAGCAGGGCTGTGGTAAAACCAAGGCACCTCTGACCAGCAGACAGTCAGGGGTATAGCCCTACGGAGACATGAGAAAGCACAGAACAGACATGGCAGTTCTTAAGCCAGCTGATGCTAGATTCAGAGACCACCTTCCAAGCCCCCTGCTCTCTGCCTTCTTGGGTGTGTAGATCAGTATCCCAAGGAGGTTCCTTTTCCCTCCCCTAGCCCCATCCAGAATTTCAGTGTGGATTATTTGGAGGTTTTGTGTCCAAAAGGTTCTGCTAGTGACAGCGTTGGGAGGGCAGGTGTTGCCCCCAGGTTCAGAGCGGTGTCTCGGGCAGTTGAGGGCCCAGTCAAGTGCCAGACTACAGGTCCTGACCATTTCTTGCCCAGACTACGGGTCCTGACCATTTCTTGCCCTGCCTTTCCAGTCACCCTCAAGACTTTCCCAGTCAGCATTCTCCCACCTGCCACTCTTATAGCCCCATAGAGGATTCTTCACTCCTGACACTGAGGGAGAGATTGGGAATAGTGGGCAGTGATGGCTAGATGGATTCCCAGCACTCTGTACAGGTGCATTTGGCAGATAGCAGGCAAGGCCAAAATACCAGTGTGTGGGACACGTTAGGGTAGTGCCCATCCTGGGAACTTCAGGGGTTGAGGGCAGTGCCCTTATGGACACACCCTGTGTGCTCCGACCGCATGGATATAGTGGTGTGGAGGGCACCTCAGGCCCGCTCAGTCTTCTCAGCTGTACGTGGGAGTAAGAGCAGCTCTGGGCTGATGGGGTCAGAATGAAGCACAGAAATCGGGCACTCGGCATGGGACTGGCATACAGAGGGGTCCTGCAATGTGCTGAAGAATTCATCAAGCTGAGACGCTAGTATTTGAGAACTTGATATAGTCCTGTTTTTTGTTGTTTTGTTTTAAGATTTTTTTCTTTTATGTAGAAGAGCTGGGGTACAGGCCAGAGGTTGGTGGGAGGGAGGTAAAAGGATTCACCAGAGACAGAATGGGGAGCAGAATAGGCAGATCTACCGAAATACACTGCTGAGGGCAGCAGGTGAGACAGGTGATCTGCTACGCATGTGGGTCACCCCCAGCTGGGGATTGAATCCAGGCCATCAGCGAAGAAGCACTGAGGCCCCGAGGCCATCAGAGAGGCCCGCTCCTGTGTTTTATACCTCAGTCAAACTACTTAAAAGTAAAACTCAGAGCTTTTTTTTTTTTTTTAAATAATATAATAGTTTGTTTTTACATCATTTTGTGCCTTTTTCCATCTCAGTTGTAATCCCTGTGGACTTCCCACCAATTCCCACCACAGCCCAGTGCACTCCCCCCCAACCCCATTTTTTATCCCATTTCCCACTCCATCCCCATAAAATGTCTCTGGTATATAGTTGTTCATTATTATTATTTTCTCCCCTGATCCTTTATATTCCTGCTTCATAGCCGTTCTTTTTATGGCACTAACCCTATACCAGCCATTCTCCAGCTGCCTTTGCCAACATTAACTCATTTAGTCTTTACAACTATCCTGCCAGGTGATTACTTGTTATCCCCATCTTACAGATGAGGAAAATTGAGGCCCAAAGAGGTGAGATCAGTTGCCTAAGGTCATACAGCCAATCCAGGGACCTGAATGCCATCTGGTCCCAGAGTTCTTTGCTAGGTTGCATTTCAGCGTTGGCGAGAATGTCTTTTTGCAAACCACCATTTCCTAGAGTATTAAATGGGGATGGTAGATAAAAAGAGAATTGGCCTAGGAGCCAATGAAGCAGTAACACAAAGCAGTAGGCCTAGGGTCTACCAGGGAAGTCTTCATTGTTAGAGGATGACAGTGTTTACCTTGGGGTGCTGAGGGATCCATGAAGGGGTGGTGTTAGGTAAAGCCTCCCTTGAATCAGCTCAGGAGCCAGGGCCCCTCAATTGGCAAAGGTAGTAACATGGCCAGCTGGGGGCCAAGGCGACAGCTGAGCCCCCCAAGGGCGCCTGCTACCCGAGCCCCAGAGGCCTCCACCCGGGGCCAGCCTCCCCAGAGAAGAGCTGGAGAAGCAGCCAAATCCTGTGGCTATAAATACCTCAGCTGGCTGTGTCCCTGGCCATGGAATGTTGGTCAGAACTGGGGCGAGTGGGGGTGGGCTGTCCCGGGTGTTGCACTTTGTCCCCCTGAGAGTGACCCCTGAGTTGCTCTGTACCCCATTTGGGAGGAGTTGAGACTGTATCCCACCTTTCTGTAGTAAAGGGAGCCCAGGTCCCAGCCCAGATTAGGGCTTCCCCCAAGCTGCCTTCAGGCTCAGCCAGGGCACTGGAAGGCACAGGGAAAAGGTCATGTTCAGGGTTGAAACAACTGTACCTCACTCTCCACCAGTGGGCATCTCCCAAGGAAAAGCCTGGGTCCACCCTGTTGTGATGGGGACGCCATCTAACTTTCCCTTCTCTTCCTTTCAGTGAAAGAATTCTTAGCTAAAGCCAAAGAAGATTTTCTTAAAAAATGGGAAAGTCCTGCTCAGGTAAGTCCCAGGGGTGCAGAGATCAAGGAAGGGGATGCTAATAGCCCTCAGACCCCCAGTTTCCTCCCTGTAACATGGGTGGGATTTTAGGGTCTGTGGTGGGCTGCAGACCTCTGGGGACTCCTGGGTGAGGCATCCAGTCACCCACTACTAGGCTTTCCTACCCCAACACCCTCTTTTAGCTGGCAGCCCCTGCCCCCCATGCAGCTGCCAGCAGCTCCTGGGCCCCAAGCCAGGACTGGATCTGGCCTCTGCCAACCGCTAGGAGGAATGCACCCTCTGCCATCTTGTTTTTCCAACCTCTATAATGAATCCCCTCACTCCACCTGCTGCCCCAGGCCCCCTCTGCTGGTGGTGCTACAGACCCAACCCCCAACCCAAGGAGACCACAGGGAGGGGGTTCCATGACCCCCCCCCCAACCCTTCCACCCACAGAATACAGCCCATTTGGATCAATTTGAACGCATCAAGACCCTCGGCACGGGCTCCTTCGGGCGGGTGATGCTAGTGAAGCATAAGGAAACCGGGAACCACTTTGCCATGAAGATCCTCGACAAACAGAAGGTAAGCCCAGCCCTCCTCGGCAGCACAGTCCCACCCACATGGCCTTTGCCTGGGCCATCCTCACCACTTGGGGTGCTTTTGCCACCCATCCACTCACCAGCTATTTCCTCCGCCTCTGTAAGGTTCCAGGGCTGAGGGCCAGAAAGCAGGGTACTGCCTTCATGAAACTTCCCCTACAGGTGGGCCACCACTGCCAACCTCAGCACTGTGATGGGTCAGACACCTTGCTGGCATTTGAGAAAGCCTGAAATCTTCCTACAAGAAGTGACATTTACCCAACTTTCTTTAAATACTTCTGAGATACCACTTTTTTGCCAGGCACTAAACACTCAGGAACAGTGCTCTCTGATGGAAATGTAACACAAGCTACATGTGGTTTTGAATCTTCCAGAAGTTCTTTTAAAAAGTCAAAAGAAATAGGGTAGGGTGAAACTATTTTTTTTTAAGATTTATTTATTTATGGGCCCTCCCTGGTGGCACAGCAGGTTAAAGCACAGTACTGCAAAGCTAGCTACAGCTGCTTCAGTGCGAGTTCAATCCCTAGCCCCCAAAGTGATCCACATGGCACAACAGACCTCTCCTGTCTTGCCCACTGCTCCCCTCAGCAGTGTACTTTGTTGATCTGACTATTCTGCGCCCCACTCTGTCTCTAGTGAATCCTCTCACCACCCTGGCACCTCTGGCCTGTACCCCAATCCTATATGCACAAATAAATCTTTTTAAAAATATTTATTTATTTGCATACAGAACTGGGTACAAGCTAGAGGTGTTGGGGGTGAGAGGTTTCACCAGACACAGAGTAAAGAGCAGAACAGGCAGATGTACTGAGACACACTCCTGAGGGGAACAGCAGGTGAGTCAGGAGAGGTCTGCCACACCATGTGGGTCACCTCTCCTGTGGTGGATTGAACTAGCGCTGCATGCAGTGGCTGCCGATTTTCATAGTGCTGCACTTTAACTCATTGCGCCACCAGGGAGCGCTGTTTTAATAGTGTGCTGTAATTAATGCAAACTATATCTACAGCGTTGCATTTTAATATAGGTAACCCATTTAAAAGTATTTTTATGTATTTTATAACTGTGTTGCCAGTTTTTAAATCTTTGTCTTAGATACTTAAAAAAAAATTTTTTTTAAGATTTATTTATTTTGGACCCTCCCTGGTGGCGCAGCGGGTTAAAGCACTGGACTAAGAAGCTTAAGCCACTTCCGCATGAGTTCGTTCCCCACCTGCCCCAGAGGAGATCCACATAGCGAGGCAGACCTCTCCTGACCCGCCCGCTGCTCCCCTCAGCAGTGTACTTAAATAAATAAATAAGAATCTTTAATAAAAAATAAAAATAAAAAGATTGATTTATTTTATTCATACAGAACTGGGGTACAGGCCAGAGATGCGGAGGCTGAGAGAATTAACCAGGGACAGAGTGGGGAGTAGAACAGGCAGATCAAGAAGTACACTGCTGAGGGGAGCAGCGGGCAGGTCAGGAGAGGTCTGCCGCGCCATGTGGTCACCTCCGGGGCAGGCGGGGATCGGGGGATCGAACTCATGCAGAAGTGGCTTAAGCTTCTTAGTGCAGTGCTTTAACCCGCTGCGCCGACAGGGAGGGCCAGATACTTAAAATTTTAACCCTGCTTCCCCAGTCACTTGCGAGTGTCACACTCCAGCCTCACCCTGACTGTCTGCCTGTGATCTTGGGCCAGTCTCTCCCCTTCTCTGTGCCTGGACTTCCAAGCCTGAATGCTCACAGTGCAGCCCCTTTGGAGCTCTTTGTCAGATGTGTCAGGGCACTTGCTGGGGACAGCGGAGTTTGGAAGAGGAATCAGCCCAGGATTCTGGTGGATGTAGGGGTACTTTTGATGGAAAGTATTTCTAATTCCCTTCCTCCTGGGCAGCTACTCCCATGTGTCTTTTCAGTTTTAGCACAGCTGCCCCTTTGCCCAGGAAGCAGTCTCTGACTCCTTCTCAGACTTCACCAGTGCCTTATTTGGGCATCCACAGACCCTAGACTTCCTCCACCAAAGCTCTGACCCTTCTGGACCATAAGGCCAGATAACTCATGTGTTCTTGCCTTGAACTGAATGCTCTGCTGGAACAAGTAGCCCCTATCATCTTAATGTGTCCTCAGCACCTTAACCCAGCAGACTTCAGCCACTCAAAGCAGCAACCCTAATCTGGGCATTAGGGATCAAAAGTCCTTCTCATGTCCCCTCATCTTGGCTTGTTTCTGTCCCTGCAGGTGGTGAAACTGAAACAGATTGAGCATACCTTGAATGAAAAGCGCATCCTGCAGGCCGTCAACTTTCCGTTCCTTGTCAAACTTGAGTTCTCCTTCAAGGTGAGATTCCCAGCCATAGAGGGCAAAATGCTAGGGCCACTACAGTGGGTACCAGCCATCAGGGGAAGGGAAAATATGGCTGAGTACAACTTTGCTTCTCAGCTGGGACTGGAGCCGAGGACAACCAGTGGCCGCCCAAGAAGGTAGACGCACTGAGGGGCAAGCACAAAGCCCCCGAAAGAGGGCTATGGGGGTAGGAGGTTCAGGAGTGCACTGTACAGGCACTCTGCTAAGTCCAAATCCATCTTCTGGACCTTCCAGCCTCTTGTTCACTGAATTGATTCCACCAAATTTGCTACCACTGTTTACAGCAAAAACTTGACCTCTGAATACGGCCACATACTCAGTGCCACACCACCTGGGACCCAGGGGCAACCCCAGCTCTGCACTTCCTGGACATGTGATCCTGACAAGGGAGTTCGCTCTTCTGAGCTTCATTTTCCCTTCTGTAAATGAGGAGTCATATCAGTCCCACCCAGCGGACTTGTCGTGACAGTTTCCAGCTCACCATGAGCACCCCTAGTGAGCTCTTCAGAGTGCCTTCCTAAGCTTTACTTTGAGACTACTTGAGGGGAGAAACTTCAAGGCCTACAACCTGGGAGATGACAGGACCTCCAACCTCGTTTAATTCTGTGCTACCACAACTTTGAAATCTGTCATCACCTTTGCCAAAACTCTTGCCACAAATTCTGCAGTCATATTTTACAGGTGACCAGACTGTGGCCAACAGCCTTGCCCAAGTCAGGTCTATCATGAGCTGCCACAGTGCCCTCCCTCCAGCCTAGGTATGGTGGCCCTCACTTTTGCCCCCCAGTAAGTAGGAGAATAGCCATATCTTTTTCCTCCTGGGCCAAGGGAGTTGAGAGGTAGTTCAGTGTGCACAGCACCACTTGCTCAGCATGCGCTATACTCAGGGAGCCAGAATTGCTCTTGTCGTTTTATTCTAAACACCTGCTGGCCCTGGACGCCAGGCCTTCAGTTAGGTCCAGAGCTCAGGGAACAAGAGTGCTGACCAGCTGCTGCTTCCAACAGGACAACTCTAATTTATATATGGTCATGGAGTACGTGCCTGGTGGGGAGATGTTCTCACACCTGCGGCGGATCGGAAGATTCAGGTAAGCCAGCTGCCCCCAACAGACCAGACCACGCTATCTGGAGCACACTATCAAGTGGTCTCTTGAGGGCCTTGTGGATTATTGTTTGTTCCCCCTGAGCTAAGAATCTGCTAGGTCTCAACCACCATGAAACACAACAAACATGGTAGCTTCGATGTCACAATCTTAAGCTAGCAAGATTTATGCAGCTTTTAAGTTCATGTTTTATCTTGTTTTTTAATAACTTTTTAATTCTATTTATTTATTTTAAAGGTTTACTTATTTATGCATACAGAACTGGGTATAAGCCAGAGGTGCTGGGGCGGTGAGATGATTTACCGGAGACAGAGTGGGGAGCAGAACAGGCAGAGCAACTAAGTCTACTGCTGAGGGGAGCAGCGGGCAGGTCAGGGGAGGTCTGCCACGCCATGTGGGTCACCTCCGGGATAGGGGATCAAACTCGCACTGAAGCAGCTGCAGCTAGCTTGCAGTGTAGAGTCCTTACCCATTGCGCCACCAGGGAGGGCCTCATGCTTTTTTTATTTATAAAGATAGGAACTTCATATTCAATAAGTCCATGCATCTGTTCCTTGAGCTTTAATATTTGCATCCACTTATGTAATCTTCACCCAAAACCCCATATAGAACATTTATATCACTGCAGAAAATTCTCTTAATGCCTTTCTTGGCAAAACACTGCTCTGACTTTGGCTATTGTCCTTTCCAGCTCCAAATACCACAAACTTGTTTGGTCTAGGTTTTGAGCTGGATATAAATGGAATCACACAACTCATGTTCTTTTTGTGTCATCATTCTTTCGCCTCATATAACCGTTTTGACCTAGGCATTTGAGTGTGCTTAGAGTTGGTCCTAATGTTGGTGATGGTGCATGGGATTCCATTGTATGAATTGAACACAGTCCGTGACTCCATTCCTTTGTAGATGGGCATTTGGGCTCTTTCCACTTTGGGTTTATAAGAATAAGGCTGCTCTGCTTGTGTATTTTGGGTAGCTGAGCCAGAGGTGGCTCTATAGGCCCACCTGCTGGACTCTGGAGGCAGGCAGGTCCTGCTAGGGCATGAGTAGTGGCACTTACCCATCTCCTTCCTGCTTGTCCCCACCAGTGAGCCCCATGCCCGTTTCTATGCGGCCCAGATTGTGTTGACCTTCGAGTACCTGCACTCACTGGACCTCATCTACCGGGACTTGAAGCCGGAGAACCTGCTCATTGACCAGCAGGGCTACATTCAGGTGCTCACCGAGCCAGGCGAGGGGCAGCCCCAGGCAGCCTGGACCTGAACCCTCCCTCCCAGCCAACCTGCTCTTTTTGTGCCTACAGGTGACAGACTTTGGTTTTGCCAAGCGTGTGAAAGGCCGCACCTGGACTTTGTGCGGAACCCCTGAGTACCTGGCCCCTGAGATCATCCTGAGCAAAGTAGGTGCTCCTGCACCCATCCCTTGATGCTGAGGTGCCCTCCACTCACACCCCTGCCTCACTATGTTGCCCTTACCTGTCCCACTCCAGGGCTACAACAAGGCTGTTGACTGGTGGGCCCTGGGGGTACTCATCTATGAAATGGCCGCTGGCTACCCACCCTTCTTTGCTGACCAGCCCATCCAGATCTATGAGAAGATTGTCTCTGGGAAGGTGAGACCTGAATGAGGGGGCTCAGCTATGGGACAGACTTCCTGCACACTGATAAGGCTTTCTCATCATAATAATCTAGAAGTTCATTAAGGCCAGATAGTAAAGCCGGACAAATGGCCATGCTCAGGCCAAATCCTGGCACAACTATGCTGTCTAATTTCAAGACCTCCACAAACTAGGCCTCACTCAAACTCCCATTCTGCCTGTCACAAGGCTCATCTCATCTTTAGTATCCCCTTCTGCATCACTGATCACAAGTTACACAGCAGGAAATCAAGTGTGGTCTGTGCCCAGAACTCAGAGTCCCACATTGAGGGTGTGCAGCCTACACCTCCCAACTAGAGCTACCTTTGAGGGTTTGGGTGTTCAGTGGTTGCCTCCCTGCCTACACCTCAACCTTGCTGTTCTCCTCAGTTTGTACCCTAGCACTCTGAGGGAGGAAGCAGAGAAGGCACATGTGTGTTGTCATCATAGGCACCAAGAGCCCACCTCTGTCCTCTGCTTACCCACCTCTCCAGGAGGACCCATCTATACCCTCCCCCTGGCCCAGCATTTACACATGGGAGCTGTGGCTGGGGCAGAATCACAGAAAATGGGAGCAACTCTGAGGTCAACCCCACTCTAGCTGCTGGCTCTACCACCTATTGACTTTGAAACCTCAGGCAAGCCCCTTTTACCCCTGTCTTCTTAGCCTCATCTTACGCATCTAGGAACTGGGGAGCCAGCCAGCCACCTGCCTCTCAGGGAGATTGGGAGCAATCATCAACTGTACAGGAGGCCAATAAAAGGGAAAACTTAAGTAGACTAGAAGTTGTTGAAAAAATGACCCAGTGGGAGAAAAAGAAAAAAAACCATAGAAGATTCCAAGGGAAGAAGAAAAGATGAGCATAATTCCTTTCTTTGTAGGACTATACAGTTCCCACGCACCCTCAGCGGCATTATCTCCTTCAAGCAACCCTGGCCCAGGGAGGTTAAGGGCCATGGCCAAGGTCATACAGCAAGCATGAAAGAGGCAGAGAGGGATAGAAGTTGGTTCTTGGGTTGTAAAGCCAGCAACTGCTTGTGTACAAGTCTATGGGTTCAGAGTGTTGGAAGAGTTCAGCTGAGTCTTAAAGAATAGAAGAGTCTTAGCTATGCAAAGAGAAGTAGAAAAAGAATCATTTCTCTCCTAAGTATAAATATGCCAGAAACCTCCAGAACCCAGCAGGACTACGTTATGGAACAGCAATTAAGAAGGCAAGTTCTAAAGTCTCCAACCCTCGATGGAATCGTCCAGTCTAAGTCCCCTGTGTAGCTGGGGACAGACATTTTAATTTTCCCTTCTGACCTTCATTTTCCTCTTCTGTAAAATGGGAAGTATTGTAGAGGTGACCTTAGGGCACCAGTCTCAATGTAGCCCCCTCTGGAGCATGCTAACGGAGTTGACTAGAATTGTAAGTTCTCAGATCCACCCAGACCTAGATGGAAAACTATAGCAAATCCAGTGAGCTGTTTCAGCAGGAGTCAAATGCACACCCACATTTGGGACCCACAGCCCAATAGGACTGTTGAATGGCCAAGATAGTATTCTGGGCTCCCTGGCTGTCAGCCACTCCCCATCCTGTCTTATACCTCCTCTTCAGGTGCGGTTCCCATCCCACTTCAGCTCAGACCTGAAGGATCTGCTGCGGAACCTCCTGCAGGTGGATCTCACCAAGCGCTTTGGGAACCTCAAGAATGGGGTCAACGACATCAAGAACCACAAATGGTTTGCCACGACTGACTGGATTGCTATCTACCAGAGGAAGGTGGGACCCCCTCTCTTGGCCCATTAATGCTTTTGTTGGGGAGGGGGGAAGGAGGAACAAAAGCACAAAGGACTGTCAATGGGGAGATGAGGAAGGCAGAGAGATGAGCTCTGAAGGAGGCAGCTTGAAGCAATGGGGGTCTAGAAATGGGATTCCAGAGTCATGTGGCTACTCTGAGGTCATTTTTGACCTTGGACAGGAGACACCACTTTCTCTGGGGAGTAATTTCCCCATGGGTGTGAGTTGGCTATAATAAGTATCTTGGGTTAAAGTTAGACCATAATATAATGCTAAGAACAGGCCGGGATCAGAGTAAGTTAGCTAACAAAAGTTAGGCCATTCACACTTATTTAAGGACTGATTCTATTGACTGCTGAGGTCTGGGTGATTCTTGACCCCTCTCCAGGTGGAAGCTCCTTTCATACCAAAGTTCAAAGGCCCTGGGGACACGAGTAACTTTGACGACTATGAGGAAGAAGAGATCCGAGTCTCCATCAATGAAAAGTGTGGCAAGGAGTTTTCTGAGTTTTAGGGGTGTGCCTTTGCCCCAGTGGGTTTTCTTTTTTGTGGGGGGGGGGTTGGATTGAACAGCCAGAGGGCCCCAGAGTTCCTTGTATCTATTTTCACCCCCATCCCACCCTCCAGGATAGGGGAGCAGGAAGCCCAGATAGTCAGAGGGAAACACTAACTAGCTGGTCCCCTCACCTGCTGGGTCCTCCTGCCCCTTCTATTGCTTTTGCCTTTCTCCTCCCAACCCCCCACCCAAACCCACCTCTGCCTATTTTAAACTAGTTTCTCAGTTCCAGTTAGACCAGGTCTTGCTGGTGTATCCAGGGACAGGGTGTGGAAAGAGGGGCCCAAACTTAACTCCAACACCCCCCCCAAAAAAAAAAACAACAAACACAGGCACCATTCATTAATGGCAAATGAAGGCAAGTCCACCCTTCCCTTTACAAAATTCCACCTGGGAAGGGGAGATTTTTAGTGCCTGCGAGCATTTAAAAAAAAATTTTTTTTACAATCTTATTTAAGTTCCACCAATGCCTCCCTGCCTTCTCCCTCTACCCCCACCCCTCTGATGTCGTCCTCTCCCACCCTCCCTCCTCAAATTCTTTATAACAGGGCTGGGAAGCAGGCTGAATTTGTAAAGGAAGGAGCTGGGGGGGTTGAATCTTTGCCCCAAGCTGCTAATCTCCCCTAATCCCCCTCCTTGGGGATCCCCTGCCAAGCCTGGAGGGTTTCACCCCCTTTAGGAAGCCCCTGCCTCAACAGACCTTTCTTCATCCTTGGCCTCTGGGACCCAGACAAGCAGCTGACCCCACTCTCCCTGCCAAAGAGTTGTCCCAAGAAAAGACTGAGGGAGCTCTGAGCGTGGGGTCTTTGCTCCCAGCAGCACTTCCCCCAAACGCTTAAATTTTATTCTCAGCTAGATTTTAATGCCCAGCCTCCTCTCAGTTCAGTTGGGAAGGCAGTATCTCCCTCCACCCTCCAAAAAAAAGATGTGGAAGAGTGGCAAAGCCCTTACCCCACAACCCCCACCCTCACCCCCCCCTTTCCTGGTTCCAGACCCACAGTTGAAGGCCAGGGTTGCTGGGGAGGGGTTTACCTGTTTTATTCACCTAGAAGCCTCGGGCAACCCCCCTACCCTGGGCGCTTCTCTGCTTAGTTGTCAGTTGTCCATCACCCCTTCTTCCTCTCTAATTTGTGCGTTTTTCTCTTAAGTGGGTAGCCACCACCCCCATTCATCCCTAAATTTATCTCTCTGAACTATCTCCCCATACCAGGTGGAGCTCTCAGGCCTAGGGTGGGACCCCGGGTGGGCGCAGGGGCAAGTCAACCTGTGTGCTGCGAAAGACGCGACTTCCTCTTGAACAGTGTGCTGTTGTAAACATATTTGAAAACTATTACCAATAAAGTTTTGTTTAAAAAAAAGTGTCGCTGGTGTTCCCGACTTTGGTCACCTGTCCCCCCCCAACGCACCTCCCCCTAAGGGAGTGGAGAGGGAACCGACCCCAGAACTCAGGCTGATCAAGCCCTAGCCTTGGAAGACTGGGCTTAGCTGGAATTCCGCCACTCCCCCTGCCCCGTAGAAGGGGGCGCCAAATTGCCCTCTGACCCTCAATTAGGGGTCCCCTACCTATGTGACGCGCCCCTCCACGCCCAGCCCTGGGCTGAGGGCACTCCAGGAAGACGCCGGGGCCAGCGCACCCGGAGGCCCAGCGGCAGCGGGGGCGGACATAGGGGGGAGGGGGTAGATGGTGCGCGCCCCCCTTCCCGCATCCTCCGCTCAGAGCTAGGGGCTAAGCGCGCCTAAAGGGCGCGGGGGCGGTGGCAGTCCCGGGGTCCCCGTGGCGCTCGGCGAGTGCGACGCCCCAGCCAGCGGGCGGCGAGTTCCCGGTAAGTGCGGTCCCGAGAGCGGAGCGCGCTGGGGAGGCGTGGAGAGGGGGGCTGGGCGCCGGGGACGTCTGGGT